TATATATATAAAGTAATGTCTTCAAGGAGGTAACAAGGATTTTCAGAATAACTCTCTAAAAATACTTTCTGATATCATCCAAATAACTGACTTAAGCATCGGAGGGCCGAGCCAGAGACCTTTTCTCTCCGGTCTAGGCTTTTTTCCAGGTACTCGGAACGATTAACCGGTGAGAAGGACGAGATCCTAAAGAGTTAGCCGGTTTCAGGTATTATTTTCATACCATTTTGGCGCCGTCTGTGGGACGCCGATCAAAAAGCTTTTATTTTACAAAATCTGAAGCTATGAAAAACTGAATCCCAAGAAAAAAATTACAATCATCATTTGACAATGGGTGGGTGGAAACAAGGCTAATAGGGGAGGGCCCACAATGCATGGGTACTCAGAGGCCGTAAGTTATAGGGCGTTCTTGTCAACTCTAAGGGGAGGAGCCTTGGATTGGTTTAACCAACTTCCCCCAGGGTCGATCAGAGATTTCGAGGATTTCACAGAGAATTTATTTAATCAATACTCCAACTCTGTCTCTCAGGAAAAAAACATATCTTACTTTGATGGCGATGAGGCAAGGGGAGCATGAGTTACTCTGAAAGTATGTGGCTAGGTATAATCAAACATGCTTAGAAATTCCTTCAGCATCAGACGAGGTGAAAGCAGGAGGATTGATTTGAAGCCTTCGAGCAGTACCTTGTCGGACGTCCTTGGCCAAGACACCTGCTCGATCCTATGAAGACATACTGAAACGGTGCAAGAAGTATATCAACTTGGAGGAGACGGAAGAGGAGTTCTCAAGATTGGAGAATGTTGCTCGAAAAGAATAGAGGAAAGGGAGACAAGATTCTCCTAGGAGGAGTCCTTAGCCAAAATCGTCCCCTAGGAAAAGATTGCCAAGAAGGGATAATCGAGGAGGACCAAGCAGCAGCCGTAATGATAAATGGGTCGATAGGCCATTTGTGGCTCGAGGAGCAAGGTTCAATAATTTTACACCTCTAAACGCTAAGATGGGAGAAGTCCTAGTAGTAGTGGAGAAAAAGTTCGAGGAGAAAGACATTTCTTGGCCGAGATCCAGGTTCGAGGGCCCTACCCAACCCAAATGAAGAAGATACTGTCGCTTTCACAAAGACTACGGCCACACAACCGACGACTGTCGTCACTTGAAAGATGAGATCGAAAGGTTGATAAGGGCGGGACATTTGAAAGAATTTGTGTATCGTGATCGAGTAGGGAGAAAAGAGAAGAGAAAGTGCAGAAATGACTTGGGAGGAGGAAGTGGTGATGATGAACCCGATGATGATCCACACAGAGATAAGATCGACCAGGTAGGACAGAAGAAAAGAGGAGATAATGGTCAGGTCCCAATAAAGAGGGGTATGGTGTTCATGATTTCAGGAGGTCCTATGGATGGCGATTCAAATCATGCTCGCAAGGAATACGTGCGGTCGGTGAAACGCAAAAGAGAAGAAGTCAACCTGACGGCTCGAATGCCCGTAATAAGTTTTCAAGCAGAGGACGCAGGAGGGGTGGTCGTACCTCATAAGACGCATTAGTGATCACAGCTGAAATCAGAGGTTTTGATGTAAGAAGAGTCTTCGTCGACACGGGAAGCTCAATTGATATCATGTTTTATGACTGCTTTGCTTAAATCAACCGAGAGCTTAGCCTGGATTTAAGGTCGGTAACCACACCATTATATGGGTTCAATTGTAGTGAAGTAGCACCAATGGAGGAGGTTAGCTTAACTGTGGCCTTAGGAGCGGGACCCACAAGAAAAGTACGAATGCTTCAATTCATGGTGATCGCGGTTGAATCGTCTTACAACGTCATTATAGGGCGAACTTGTTTGAACACTTTCCAGGCTATTGTATCAACGTACCACACGATGATTAAATATCTAGTAGGTGAAGGCGTTGGTGAGATATCTAGTGATCAACTTGCTTCAAGGAGTTGCTATCAAACCACTGTTAGCAATAACAAGCAACTGTCGAGGAAGCAACCCCAAACTTATAGTGGAGTACCTGGTCGAGTGAGCTCCTCAAGGTCCAAGGAAGAAAAATCTGCAGCCGAGAGGGGAAAGGAAAAGGTGGATATACAGCTAGGAGGAGAGACCGAAGAGTGTCAAATGGTAGAAGGAAATTAGGATCGAAAATTTAAGATTGGGGCGGACCTGATCGAGCCAACTAAATCCAGATTGATAAGCCTTACCCGAGATTTCTCAGATGTCTTTGCTTTTACCACAGGGGAACTAATGGGCATCGATGCCAGGATCATAAAGCACCGATTAAATATTGATCTTACAGTCAAGCCGGTGAAACAGAAAAGAAGACATCATGGTGCGGAAATTGATCGAGTGATCCAAGAGAAAGTGTACAAGTTGCTAAAAGTTGGTCATAAGGAAATCCAATTCCCGAAATGGTTGTCTGACACCGTGATGGTAGCGAAAAGTGGGGGAAGGTGGAGAATGTGTGTTGATTTTAGAGACTTGAATAAAGCTTGTTCAAAGGACTTATATCCTCTACCAAGGATCGAACAGTTGGTCGACTCTACTGCAGGTTGTGAGTTGTTGAGCCTTATGGATGCATCTCAGGGCTACCATCAAATACCTCTCGCTAGAGAAGATCAAAAAAGAGTGAGCTTTGTGACGAGTCGAGGTACATATTGTTATGTAGTGATGTCGTTTGGTCTTAAAAACGCTGGAGCCACTTATTAGAAATTGGTCGACAGAATCTTCAAAGATCAACTGGGAAGGAACATGGAAGTTTATGTTGACGATGTGATGGTGAAGAGCAAATTCGAAGTCGACCATGTGGCTGATTTAAGAGAAGCCTTCGTATCACTAAGAAAGTACAATATGAAGCTGAACCCTAACAAGTGCTCATTTGGGGTAAGGTCAGGGTAGTTTTTGGGATACTTGGTAACAAAAAGAGGAATCGAGGTAAACCCAGAGAAGGTTCGAGCGGTTATGGAGATGAATCCCCCTACCAGGGTAAAAGAGATGCAGATGTTAACAGGCAGACTACCAGGGCTGAGCAGGTTCATATCGAAGGTGGCGGAGAAAAGCGGACCTTTATTCAAGACATTGAGGAAATGTACCAAATTCCAGTGGATCGACGAAGCCCAGAAGTCCTTTGAAAGATTACAAGATGTCTTAGCCAATCTGCCTCTATTGGCCAAGCTTATGCAATAGGAAGACTTTGTCTTATACATCTCGACTGGGGAAGGTGTCGTCAGTTCAGTTCTTTTGCGAGAAGAAGGTGGGGATCAATTTCCGATTTATTTTGTTAGCCGAGTAATGCAAAGAGACGAAGTAAGATACTCAGAGATTGAAAAATGTGCCTTGGCGGTGGTGGTGGCAACAAGGAAGTTGAGGCCATACTTTCTAAATCATCGAATAAAGGTCAGGACTAACATGCCCCTAGGAGATATTCTGGGTCGACCGTCTGTATTTGGTCGATTAGTGAAATGGGCGGTCGAACTCAGCGAGTACTCTATATTGTATGAACCGCAAAGAGCTATTAAGGCTCAGGCATTGGCTGACTTTATTCAAGAAGGAACAAAGACTGAAGAAGAATCTAAGGGAATTTGTCGAGTG